GCTCAAGTCCGCGATCGCCGTCCAGTCGTCGGGGAACCCGGAGAACATGCGGAAGCGGCGGCGGGTAGATTACCGTCCCTGGTCGCCCGATGTTCGCGAGCGTTTGCTGATGGATAATGGATCGAGCGTGTTGGATTGCGAGATCGATCGGCCTCGAGGGCTTAGAGGGCTGAACAATCTGGGGAACACTTGTTTTATGAACTCGGTGTTGCAGGCCTTGCTGCATACTCCGCCGTTGAGGGACTATTTCTTGAGTGATCGGCACAATCGGTATTACTGCCAGCTGAAGAACGCGGCAACTACGGGCCGGATCGGCAGCGGTGTCGGTGGTGGCGGGAAGAGGAATGGCGGGAATGGTGGTGGCGACAACAGCAATGGGATGATTAAAGGTGTGAAGCTGTGCTTAGCTTGCGACGTGGATGCGATGTTTTCCGCTGTTTTTTCTGGCGATCGCAAACCATATAGCCCCGCGAAGTTTTTGTACAGGTACCCATTTACTTGATCTGGGTCTGGAACTTCCATCATGGTTTGTTGTTGTTCTACTGAATGATTCGTTGATTGGTTGTCTTTTTTTTTTTTTTTTTTGTTGGTTTGCAGCTGGTGGCAGCATGCGTCTGACTTGGCAAGCTATGATCAGCAGGATGCTCATGAATTTTTCATTTCTATGCTTGATGGAATCCATGAAAATGTGGAGAGGGATCGAGGAAAACCCCCGAGTCCAGGTAAACCGAAAATGTTGGTTCAGTTAATTGGATATGCCTTCTTAGAAACGAATTTATCCTGTTTGCACTTTCCAACTCATTGCATCTGTCAGCTAGCCTAGCAGTGTACTTTGTCAAAGGTGCATGTTCTTTTAAGTTCATTTAGTGGAAGATAGTTCTTTTATACAATCCAAGATTTTGCAATGTGATGTCTATCTTCCTGCTATGCATGGCCCGGTTATGTTTTTGGCTGTTCAATCTGTGTGCTTAAGTTTTAGATTGTACTATGCTACTTGCTGCATGTTCTAATTATCAACGAACTTGTGGATTGAAAGTGTCAGCCAATGGGAGGTCCCTTTAGAGTCGAGGAAACAATTAGGTGGCCTATAAGGTATTAGATATCCCAGCCAAGTAAGAGGTCTAAGTTCCTGACTTCTAAACCATGTAGTTATGCATGCCTTGGAAGAGTTGGTGTTCGCATTAGTGCCATTATCGATAGATCCCCCGAACTGCACGTCTTTGGAGTTATCTTAAGCTTTTGACAACTCACACTTTTTTCTTCTTCTCTGTGTTAAATTTTGTTCTGGAAAATGCTCTTGAAGATAAAGAAATAACTGGTAACTTTTAACTGCAGGCTTTGGGGGGTTTATTAGGTCTATGTACTTGCCTTAGGAGTTGAAAGTGCAAGTGTTAGGACTAAGTCTTCACCAACCTGCAGATTTGATCGTGTCATCCTGCTTTTGCTCCTGTAAGTCTGATTTTTCCTTCACCCGCTCGGTTCTTGTCAGGATCTTCTCCTGTATTCCTGATAATTAGGTTCAGCCAAACTTTTTTTTTCTTTTTATGGATTGTCTTCCAGCTTCAGTCTAACTTTCTTCTGGATGTCTCCCTTTTTGATAGGCTCAGTGGCATTTCCTTAAGCTTGATTACTCTGCCAGTTACTCTCCATATCCCTGGTTTTAGCATTTAAGCGTCCTTGACAAATAGACCATTAGTATATGATTTGGAGATTGCTGAAATATAATGTTTGATTTCATTTTAGGCTAGTAGTTGCTTGCATCTATCTGCTTTATTTTTGTCAAGTTACATACTAGGACTACAATAGACTTGCTATTTCGGGACTTCTCTGAACATATTATCTTGATCACACATCGGTAACCATATCTTGTCTTTGATTTTTTGAATTTCAGGACATGGAGACTGCTGTATTGCACACAGGGTATTTTCCGGCATCTTGCGGTCCGATGTCATGTGCATGGCCTGTGGTTTCACATCCACAACATATGACCCATGTGTGGACATCTCACTCGACTTGGAGCCTCACCAAGTGACAGCTCATGGAAAGACATCTGCTAAATCTCATCCATCTTCCAATAGTGAAGCAAACGGCTTCAGTTCGACCCAAATCCCCACGACATCTACCCTGATTGGATGTTTGGACCGCTTCACCCGACCCGAACGATTGGGGTCCGACCAGAAATTCTTCTGTCAACAGTGCCAAGTGAGTCAGGAATCCCTGAAGCAGATGTCGATTAGAAAGCTCCCATTGGTCTCCTGCTTCCACATCAAGAGATTCGAGCACTCTCACACTCGAAAAATGTCGAGGAAAGTCGATCGGTACCTGCAGTTCCCTTTCTCGCTGGACATGGCACCATATCTATCTTCTTCCATTTTGAGGAGTCGATTCGGGAACCGGGTCTTCTCATTCGAAGGAGATGATGGAGATGACGTGGCAGCAAACGAGATGTCCTCGGAATTTGAGCTGTTTGCCGTGGTGACCCACTCGGGAAAGCTGGATGCTGGTCATTATGTCACGTATTTGCGGCTGAGCAATCAGTGGTATAAATGTGACGACGCATGGATTACCAGAGTGAACGAGAATGTGGTGAGGGCTGCGCAGGGGTACATGATGTTTTATGTGCAGAAGATGCTTTATTACAGAGCGAGTGCCCAGGTATGCCCATCGTGATACTGGATATACTACCAGGCAAGCATGGAACCAGTTTTTGATGCTGGGGAAGTAAGCCAGCTGGCAATGCCGATGCACGACATGGTCACAATGACAGGCATTCGACGCCAGTCGTCAGTTTGCTGAAGCGTGCAGAGTCTGGTCAAGGCTCATTCTGCTTACAGAAAAGAATAAACAAGCAAATGGACTCTCTTCTTGAACACCTTCTACCGGGTGGTTCTGCTGGTGATTTCGGCTATTGGTTTTAGGGTTACAATGGCAGTTGCAGCAATGGATTCGTGGAATATTGGCTTCCTTTTTTGCGTCGAACTATTTCGTTCTTCGATTTCCTTTGCCTATTCTATTCTGTTGGTTGAAGAAAGCATTGTTTTGGTGGTGGTGGTGGTGGGATCATAGTGATGATGTATTACTGGTTTTTGGGTTGCCTTTTGTATCACCATCAGGATCCCCATTGGGAGTGTAGTAGTAAACTACTAAACTCGATATAGAACGTTGATATGGCGACAGTTGAAAAATACTCCAAAATTGATACCTATAGCTGCTATAATCATCAAATTCTTCTTGTTACGTCGTAGAAGTGGAAAGAGATGGCTTTCTGTATATAAGTTCCAAATGCAGGTCTGTCGATTTGTAGTTGCAGTTAGGGCTGGACATGCGGGCGGATCATCCGTGGGTTTGGGCCGACCCACCCGCATTTGACTCGAATTTCGTTAAGTGGGTGGGTTTGTGGGTGGGTGACGGGTTGCGCTGGAAGCCATCCGCTGGGTGGTGGGTGGGTTGTGGGTGAGTGTGCGGGTGACCCACTCAACCCAACAGCAAAAAGATCAAAGTCGTTGGCGCTAGAGAGAGGAGAGTGGAGACGTTAGATATAAACTCGGACTGCTCCTGGAGTTTGAACCTCAAAGCCAACCTTCCAAATAGAGATCCCCTCTTCTTCCCTTTACTTTTTCCTCTAATTCTTGTGCCTAGATCACCGCTCTTTCCTTTGTGGAATTATTTTCCTTAGTTCTTTGCACCTAATAATCGTCTCAATCTGTAGAAAACTCTTTCATAATAGAATTTCTATCCAATTTAAAAACTAATTCGGCATTTTTCGCCCTATTTCAACTACTTGTTTCCCTCGATGATTATCTTCACCTATTATCATGTCAAGTTGACTCCTTTATATTATATACATTGTGATGTGGGTGAACCCACAAACCCACCCGCATCATCCACCATCCGCCCGACCCAACCCGAGATTATATGTGGGCGGGTGGTGGGTTAAAAATTATCAATCCGTTTAAGCGCGGGTGGGTGCATTTCATTGTCAAAATCCACCCGACCCACCCAATGCCCACCCCTAGTTGCAGTATATGATCAATGATTGTACATGTCGAACTCATTCTTGCACACCATTAGCTTTTCCGCCCTATATAACTTAACATTCGATTTAGCGAAATTATCCTTCGTGCGTGATAGGTTAATAACTCGGTGAAGGAAACTATAACGAGGAATACCCTATGAGCTTTTCGTCCTGATCAATCGTTGGTCGACACCAATTACTTGTCACATTATTTGCTTCGTTTACATAATAAGTGTCTAATAGACACTACAAATTTCCTTATACTTTCTTCGATTGATCGAAACCGATTTAAACTACATGTCACATTATTTCACTAACAAAATTCGTCAACTATCAAAGTTGGGTGATTAATGTGTTAGTTCCTGATGGACCAAAAAATAGAACAAAAAATACACGTGTGGTGGATGCTAGCGCCTGTCGTTCCCAAAATCCCTTCTTCTCCCTGTTTGTCTTACTCCTCCTTCTCTTATCCACCAAACCCCTTCACCTCTCCTTTCTCCTTCTCGTTATCATCATCTTCCTCCAGTCCCGACCAACCGCCGGCCAATCTCCGATTCAGTATCATTGCTTTATCACCTCCCCGCCTACCCCACGGCAATCCTTTCCCGTCTGCCATCTAATCTCCCCATCACTTATTCTTCATCGCGTTTCTCTCGAGCTAGGTTATGCCTGTTCCGCCGCACAAAGAGTTTTAACTGACGCAACCAGTTTCCGATTTGCAGTTCTCTTAACTGGGTTTGTTTTTTCTACGCGCTCCTCCAGGAATGGCGAGAATATCGATTCTGCTGCTGCCGCTGATTCCCCGCCACCAGTAAAAACAGCTGTGCTCTTTTTCCTTCGCTTTTTTCTCGTGTCTCGCGTTTTGGGTAATTCAAGTGTTGGGGGTAAGGAACATAATCATTGCTTTCCCCGGTGGCTTTCGCTTTCTTCGATTTTGTTCTTCAGCTTTTGATGATTCTTTCAATTGTGATGTTCAGTACGAAAGATGAAGGGAATTATGGATTGGGTTTTCCCTCAGCTGTTGGTCAAATCTCTGGCCTCGTTATCACCTGGTGGCTTCAGTGGCCCGCCTCCAGTGGATCAACGTGCTGATGACATAGGTAAATTTACTAATTGCATCACCTGCCAAAATCCATTTCCATCTGGTTGTTGTAGATGGGTAGATGCTTTGTATGTTTCGCCCCGAAATCTGGGTTTTAACTCAAGCTCGAAAGTGGGAGCTGCAACATTTAGTCTTCTCTTGCTACGAACTCATGATTAGTCGTTGTGTGGGATAGGTGGTGGTTGATATATGGTATGTTCAGCAGTAAGCTCCACCTCTGTATGATTGTTTTAAGCTACCGTAACCATTGAATGTAGTGCCAAATTATGGTCTGGATGTGTGTATACCTTTAGGACTGAGTTGAACTTATTATTTCTGCCTTTTGTAGATTTAACCACCAATTCGGAGGCATTGCCACTGCATTCAGGGGCGCCTTGTTCCATTGAGAGTAGACGGGAGAGTGGAACTGATACCACTACTCCCCAGCAAGTAGTCGAAGCAGCTTCCCAGCCATGCAATCACTATGTTGAGGGAAGAAAGACGGATCCTTTGGCAAGGATTGAAGATCTCAAAATCAAGCTCTTTCGTCTGCTTCAACGGTTCAGTTTGTCCTCAGACAATCTCCTCGTGGCGAAGGTTTTATACAGGATACACATTGCAACTTCGATTCGAGCTGAGCCACCAGACAGAGTGAGAAATGCTAGAGCCAAAGCAATAGCAGCAGCTCAAGAGTCTTCCGGCTCACCTGAACTGGACTTCTCCTTGAGAATACTTGTACTTGGGAAAACAGGAGTTGGGAAGAGTGCGACCATAAACTCATTACTGGATGAAAGAAAGACAATCACTAGTGCATTTCAACCGGCCACTGACCGTATACAAGAGATTAGTGGCTCTCTCAATGGGGTTAGAGTAACTTTCATAGATACACCTGGTTTCTCTCCATCATCGACCAGCAGTGTTAGAAGAAATCGAAAGATCATGCTCTCTGTCAAAAGATTCATCAGGAGATCCCCTCCAGACATTGTTTTATTCGTCGAGCGCCTCGACCTCATCAACATGGGTTCTTGCGACTTCCCACTGCTGAAGCTAATGACGGACGTTTTCGGGAATGCTATTTGGTTCAACACCTTGATTGTAATGACTCATGCTTCCTCTTCCCTTCCAGAAGGAACTGGTGGATATCCTGTCAGCTATGAATCATATGTGAATCGGTGCTCTGAGTTGATGCAACACTACATCCACGAAGCAGTTCTTGACTCGAAACTCGAGAACCCTGTGATTCTTGTGGAGAATCATCCTCAGTGCGTGAAGAATACCCGTGGTGATGCTATTCTTCCGAATGGTCAGGTCTGGAGATCTCATTTTATGCTATTGTGCATTTGCAGTAAAGTTCTTAGTGTTGCGAGCAACATATTGCGACTCGAGAAGAGCATTGACTTGGGGGCAAAGACTAAACCGCGGGTGCCTTCTCTTCCCCATTTGCTCTCATCGTTTGTCAAGTATAGATCTATTTCAAATCCTACTCAAGATGGTGGTCATGATTTCTACGATGAGATTCTACTATCAGATGAAGAAGGAGAAGATGAATACGACCAACTACCTCCGATCCGTATCCTGTCAAAATCCCAGTTCTCAAAATTGAGCAAGTCTCATAAACATGATTATCTTGATGAGCTAGATTACCGGGAGACACTTTACTTGAAGAAACAGTTGAAAGAAGAGTGTAGAAGACGAAGGGAGAAGCAGCTTGTGGGAGAAGTAAGTCATGAAGAGGGTGATGAATCTGCCACCTTGCCGGAGGCAGTCCTCTTACCAGACATGGTGGTTCCTCTGAGTTTCGACTCGGACTGTCACGTGCATCGATATCGCTGCCTTGTCACAAATGAACAATTTATTCCAAGGCCAGTACTTGATCCTCAAGGATGGGATCATGATGTTGGGTTTGACGGTATAAACTTGGAGACTTCTGTGGAAATGAGGAAGAACCTCCATGCCTCAGTTTCCGGGCAGATGAGCAAGGATAAACAAAACTTCAATATTCAGTCGGAGTGTACTACTGCATATTCTGATCCTCGGGGGTCCTCATACTCTGTAGGTCTGAATGTTCAATCTGCTGGAAAAGACATGTTTTACACTGTTCACGGCAACACAAGAATGAAGAATTTCAAGCACAATGTTATGGACTGTGGGGTTTCATTGACATCGTTTGGCAAGAAGTATTATGTAGGTGGCAAGGTTGAAGATTCGGTGTTGGTTGGTAAGAGGTGGAAGTTTTTGGTCAATGCAGCACAAATGAGAGGTGCTGGACAAGTTGCCTATGGTGGGAGGTTCGAAGCCACTGTGCTAGGGACTGATTACCCAGCTAGGAACGATTGTTTGAGTGTCTTCCTGTCCCCTCTGTCATTTGAGAAGGATACAGTATTGAGTGGTGGAGTGCAGTCAGAGTTTCAGGCAATGCGTGGTACTAGAGTGGGTGTTAATGTTAATCTGAATTCACTGAAGATGGGGCAAGTTGGTGTCAAGATCAGTAGTTCCGAGCACTTGGAGATTGCTCTCATCGCAGCTTTCACGATATTCAGGGCCGTATTCTCTAAGAGAGTAGGTGAGCATAGCCAGGAAGAGTTGGAGACGGGATAAGAGCTGAGTTTCCCTTTCGGTTGTTGAATTAGGTATCTGATATCTCCAGAGCTTTTCCTTTTCCTGGTCATTCCTCTTACCTCAACTCCGAGGGGGAAAAAGTTTTGTGCTTTTGTAATGAGATTTCACGTTGCTTCAGCGTGCTTCGAGCTTCCAGCGATGTCTGATGGCTGCTAGGCAAAATGGAATCAATAAATTGAGGTGGCATGTACATCGAGCTTCTGTAACTGTACTTAGATTTGTTTTTTTTTGTTGTTGGTCAATCTGCTGCATAAAAGGCAGAAGACAGTGCCGACAGAGAGAGGTATGCTTCTTTAGTGGCCTTTATATGCTCTTCTATGAAGCTTCAGTTTTGGTCTATCACTGCCACTTGATAACTCTACTATCTTCGATTGCATTCAAGGAATTAAGCACATCAGAGTTCCAAATCTCTAGGAAACTTCATTTCATGTTCGATTGTTCGAGTTTGCCCTGCCCGAATAACCGGTGGGCAGTGGTCCGATAGGGTTGGATCGAATAGCATGAGAGAAAGGATGGTAAGAAACCTAATGGAAAGTTCATGTGATACATTTGATGGTCCAAACTTTTACTGATTTGATCGAAATCAAATCAAATTATACATTTTTAGAAGCACGGACTTCAAAAATTAAGAAACCAATGCCGCAACAGATCCCACATTTTCCCAATCACATCTCAAAATCTTTCATTATTGTAAAGCTCCATCTGCAAATTCCTAAGGTTGTAGTAGCAGACGAGCAAAAGATGAGTAGCCCGTTATGACTACTACTTCTTGCCACCCTTCTTAAGGGTCTTAGTCTTACCCCCTTTGCCATCGCTTCCTCTGAACTTCCTCCTTCGCGTCAGAGCAAACTCCCCAAACTTGTGGCCCACCTTGGCCTCGGTGATCTTGCAACGAACGAACGACTTCCCATTGTATATCCTGACGGTGGAGTTCAAAAACTCCGGCAATATGACCGACCTCCTAGACCAGATCTTCCTGTTGTTGAGTGGCGCTCCCTTGTTCTTCAATTTCAATAGGAAAGCATCCACGAACGGACCCTTCCACATTGCCCTCGCCACAGGTACCTGCAACGTTTAACAAAGTCGTCGAAATCACTACACAAATGCAACCCACCAAGAAGCTTCAGACTTTCAAGGTAGAATTGGAGGATCCAACTGGAAAGCATGACTAGCAGGAAATCAAACTGCCTAGACATGGCACCTGGGTTTCACTTCTAGTTGATGATGCTTCTGCTGCCGAAGAAAACAACCGACTCCGTCCATAACCCGACGAGTCTCTGCTCCATAACGAAATGGTATCAAATGAATAGCAAATCAAGCATATGCTTTTCAAAAGCCAACTTCCAATGAATCAGAACACCCAACTAGGTTTATCAACATTCATAGAGAGGGATTCTCAAACAGCAATCAAGTTAGTCATTTCTTAAGATGAAAGACTGCTCAAACTACGAACTACTGAACTAACCTTGATGGCCATGAACAGACTGGACTCCCTCTAGCATAAGTACCAAAATCAGTAAAGCCGCGGCCGATGGAAGCGTTTACTCCCGAATCTACAACTTTCCTCCTTATACTTGCCCACAACATTGCGATGAGAAGTGGGAAATCACACTACAATCAGCAATCCAAATGAATCAGGAAACAAAAAACCTCTACTACGAATTTCCAAAGTTCTCTTCTTTTCAGCTACAAAATGGCGAAAGGAGCTCACTCCCGACCAGGGTAACTGATCAAACACATCCACGGGGGGGAAACCAAACGATTCGAGAGATCGATACGAGAGTGGAGATGGGAACAAACCTGCTGAAATTATTGGGGTTTCCGCCGTCGACGGAGGAGCTAGCGCAGCCGTCTTCAATCGCCGCCGCTGATGAGAGCAAAATCAATCGCCTTCCTCGAAGGATTTCCCTTTCCTTCCTCGCGAAAAACCTCCCAAAATTTTCGGCCCCTTAATCAGCGAAATGAAACAAAATTACGGGCCTTTTTCTCGGGCCAGGCCCAACCCAAGTGCATGGTTTGACAATTGAGCTTGTTGGGCCTACAATTTTGCCTGGCGAAACTGACGCATGGATGGCGTCATGATTCCGGTGTCGGGCATCCACTGACAGTAAACCTGCGCCTCCGCCACAAAAGCTTCCTAACTGCAACTAATTCTGAAGCGATAAATGACACTCTCTAAAATAAAGATTGCTTCTTTCAATCATTTGCTTTCTTCTCGGCTCTCTTCCTCAACTGCTTCATCGTCACCTTATCTGCTAATGTTTCTCAGGTAAGCAAAATGTCTCGTCTTTACCAAACTGTGATCTTTGTGGATCCCTCCTTTTTCAATTTCTGGGTATCAGCCAAATCGAGTCAAGGTTGACTGTTATTGGTATCGATCATTGAATGGCTCTACCTGCAAATTATTGATCCATGTTCCTTGTGGAATTCGAAAGCATTGAACTTGACCCGTTGTCACTGGTGATTTGAGTTGTTCTTTGATTCCTCTGCCTCCCAAGTTTGGGAGGAGTTGGCAGTTGGTTGGTAAGAAGGGTTTGTGTCAAAATGAAAAATTGACTTGAGAATCTGACGTTCGACTTTGATGCTTATTTGATGACTGCAGATAGGTTGGGTTTACAACGTTTGTAAAGATGAAGCAGTTCTGGGTTGGGCTCGTTACCGCGTTCTTTCTGTTCTTGAGTGGTTTGAACAATGGGAATGCGAAGATGACAAGTACCTTCGTGCGTTCGGAGTGGCCATCGACTGATATCCCTCTTGACAATCAAGCATTTGCAGTTCCAAAAGGTCGAAATGCACCTCAACAGGTAAACTGTTAACTTTTCTTGAGTTGCTTGCAAAAGAGATTACGTTTGCTTATTAAGTCCATGAGTGGAGATACTGTACCTGCTAAATGGAAAGAGAGTGCATTTGCGGTCAGGAATCTATTATTGTTTGAGGGTTGTTGTAACTGGTTATGGGAGTGTGTAATGCATTTTTATCATAATTTCTTTGTTTCATCTCAACAACCATAGGTGCACATTACACAAGGTGACTATGAAGGGAAGGCTGTGATCATCTCATGGGTGACACCTGACGAGCCTGGTTCTCTCAAAGTACAGTATGGTAAATCGGAAAAGAAATATGATTTGACTGCTGAAGGGACAGTGTCAAACTATTCCTTCTACAAGTACAAATCAGGATACATTCACGAGTGCCTCCTTGATGGCCTTGAGGTAAATTTCACTTTCAAGAACTTTGAAGTCGTGTCTTTCGAACTTTGCAGACTTGGCCCGAGTTATTCGTTTTGAGATATTTTCTTGTCTGCAGTATGCTACTAAGTATTATTACAAGCTCGTGTGATGAATCTTCTCGAGAATTCTGGTTCCAAACACCACCGGAGATTCATCCAGATGCTCCTTATAAGTTTGGAATAATTGGTAAGTTGCCACCTGTGTTTTGCATATATGCATTTTCATGAGCTGCAGTTTTCCCTATATGGTTACTGATTTATCACTCGGTTGCGCTCCATTCTATTTATGTCTTCCAGGTGATCTAGGCCAAACATATAACTCCCTCTCTACCCTTCAACACTACATGCAGAGTGGGGCAGATGCAGTGTTATTCGTTGGGGATCTTTCTTATTCAGACAGATATCAGTATAATGATGTCGGGATCCGATGGGATACATGGGGTCGTTTTGTCGAGCAAAGCACAGCATATCAGCCATGGATGTGGTCTGCTGGAAATCATGAAATCGAGTTCATGCCATACATGGTATACTTGTTACTGCTATTCTCAAATGTCATAACACTGGAGATTCACGCTTTTTCATTTGAGTAATTCTAGACCATCTTTTCCACCTTATGCCACAGGACGAGGTTGTGCCTTTCAGAAACTTTCTTCATCGGTACCCAACTCCTTACTTGGCTTCCAAAAGCACCAATCCTCTTTGGTACGCAATCAAACGTGCATCTGCTCACATCATTGTGCTCTCCAGCTATTCACCTTTTGGTAACCTTCTGAACTTCGACTCTTCTTTATGGTAATCTGTCAGTTGTTCTCTAATTCAACCTTTTGAGCAGTGAAATACACTCCACAATGGACGTGGCTTGAGGAAGAGTTGAAGAAGGTTGACAGAGAGAAGACGCCGTGGCTCATTGTTCTCATGCACGCCCCTATCTACAACAGCAACGAAGCACATTTCATGGAGGGTGAAAGTATGCGAGCGGCTTTTGAGACATGGTTTGTTCAATACAGAGTCGATGTTATCTTTGCTGGTCATGTCCACGCTTATGAAAGATCGGTAAGTCAGAGGAGCTTTTACTTCTTACGAAAATAGAGTTGTGCAGTGTATGAAAAGCTAATGCATTTCTTTCTTATCTATCTCCAGTACCGAATATCAAACATCCAATACAATGTGACAAGTGGCGATCGATATCCTATTCCAGACAAATCTGCGCCTGTGTATATTACAGTAGGAGATGGAGGAAATCAAGAAGGTCTTGCTGGAAGGTATATATATACATAAATAACCCAAACTCTCACAGATTCAGTTGCTAATAAGTTATCAAATCAAGGAATAAACCATTCCATTGATGACATGTGCAGGTTTTTAGAACCACAACCAGATTATTCGGCTTTCAGGGAAGCCAGTTATGGGCATTCAATGTTAGAGATAAAGAATAGGACACATGCATTGTACCACTGGAACCGCAACGACGATGGCAAAAAGGTGCCCACTGATGCATTTGTATTGCACAACCAATACTGGTAAGGAAATCATAATGACGAATTTTGCCACCATTTTTGCTGAGTAACATGCAAAATTCTCTGGTCCTGTTACATACCAGCTGAACTTGTGCTGGATTCCGTGCAGGGGAGGCAATCTCAGACGCAGGAAACTAAACAAGCATCACTTGAGAAGGACCATCCAGCCGATTACTGATAAGTTCTTGCTTGATTCAGAGTGATAAGCTCACACCAAATCAGCAGCCGATTGCTGAAGATTATGGCAGTTCCTTCAATGTATAATGCAAATGCCATATGCATTCCTTGTCTACGTCATATTTGTAACAGGGATGCTGTTGTTTCCATCGTTGAATCTTTAGTCTTTACTATTAGATTCTGACATTGTTTCTGTATTTGCTAATCTTCAAGCAATATAATGAGAATTCAAAGGACCTGATTGGAATTGTTGATATTATTGAAACCCTATAAAGCATACGTGGATTACAACATGTCAAAAAAGCTCTGCTTCCTACCATCTCATTCTCACAAAAGCTCTCATTATCCATCCACCGAAACAAAAATCTTCTGAGTAATCCACAAAAAGAATTCTTATGTACAGCTTGTTTCCAAGCAATGAGATTCACTGAGCTCCATGATCGAAGAATGGGAATTTCTGAATACCGAAACTATGGCTTGTGGCGCCTCCTACCACTGGGAATCGCGGTAGATTGGTTGTGGAACCCACTTGAGGCTCAAATTCAGCCTTCCGGATTTAGCACCATCCAGCGTGAAGCATTCTCTGTATTCTCCTTCCAATATGACCCTGGTCAACGTCAAGATGCATCTCCCAATATACTCCTAAATAACAAAATATTGAATGAGAACAGTGCTACCAAAAATCCAAACTTGTCAGGAACCACAATCCATGGGCGCTTTGAGAGAGGATGGTACCAAACTTACCTTGCGAAACGTGTCGTGATCATAAACTTCAGCAATGAGCATATCATGCAGTGCATCCTCCACAACAAAGTCAAATGTTTGGTTCCACTCAGGGTTCAAGTTCTCATTCACGACCTAGCAAGAAAAGGAAAGGCTAAAATGATGAATATGAATTGGTCGTATTATTGAGAATTTATAAAATCAACAGAAATGGAGACATTGGAAGACTCAAGTGTAATGGAAGAGAAACTTACCCTGGTTTTGTTTTTAGTATCCGACTTTTTCATGGTAAGGACAACAAAAGGATCAGCCTTGCCCATGAGATCAACAACAGGCAAGTCTTCAGCAGAAATCACGGTTACAGAAAGAACTCCTCTAACAATCACCTCCCTTTTCTTCTGTGAGACTTCCCTTTCAGTTAGAGCAGCATCTGCTATTCCATTTCCTGAACTTTTAAGCACCCTTTCTAAGGTTGTCATTTCGACTTTCTTGGCAAAGGGGTTGGTGAAGCTGTTCTCCATACCATACGGGCAGTAGAGCAGCTCCAAGTGGACCTAAAAGATGGTATCAATCACAGCAAGCCATAAATGTACATTAAACTTAGGAATTCCAGCAGCGTTTTGACTAATTAACTACCATGACAAATCTCACCTCCCCTCGGTATTTGTTGTCTCTTTGAACCTCCAAATCTTTGACCAGCTTCAACCACACATCCTTCACTTTACCAGGTTCAGCTCGCTTAATTGAACTTGAGCACATCCAAGTAGCTCAGAAGCTTGAAGCCCCTCATCATCAAAAATCTTAACATACAAGTGTTGAGTGGATGCATCCTCAACAACAAATTCATAGTGCTCATTCCAGATTGGATTCAGATCATTGCTCTGCAGGAATACAGTTTAAAAACCTTCATCCCAAGCAAGTTAAAGAAGGCTATGAACTACGAAAAAGAAGCCAGGTATCTTACGATGATTTTACTGGTTTTTGTTCGTTCACGTAGCGGCCTTATGTACAGCTCAGCATAGGGATCTGATTTCCCTATGAAGTCTTTGTTTGTCAAGTCCTTAGCCTGCACAAGTTTCACTTCTAGTGTACCAGATGGCTTCAACTCCAAGTCACTAAACATAGGAAAAGAAAGGGCTCCACAATGATGATATCGCGAAGACAGGAATAGCTGGGGAAACATGAGATAACTTTTTGTTTGGAATTTCTTCCGAGTTTTAAAGATATCAACCAAGTTTTGAATAGCTTTAACACATTCAATCAAATATTCCTCCTAGAATATTGGTCTACCTGAACAGGGTCTAAACAACATTATGACTCGGTTCATGGGTCTACACCAATGTGCACAAGCAAATATAACATTTGTAATATAGATTGCCACACCTGTAATCCCCAGGCAAAATAGGGACAATTTTTCGGACCGGCCAAGTAATAGAGTCTTCAATAGCATTGTGTATAGTATCCTGTGCACAATAAGGAAGTGGTTTTGTAATTAGTATTAGCATTAGTTTCACCACATATGAAAGAGTTCCCAAAAAATAATTACGAACCTCCAAAGCACCAGAGAGTCCAGGAATAGATGTTATGTCACCTCCAATTACTTTAAGCTTAAAGTCAAACTTTTTCTGCACAACCAATACATGTTCGTTAAGAGCATTATAATCTCTACATCAGAAGTTGTCAAAAACTAGAAAGACAAAATGCTGAACCTTTTGTCTCAGTGAATAACAAACAGCTCCAAAGCAAGGAAGCTCTTCAACTAGCGGTTTGAAGATTAACGTGAAAACCCCAGTAAATCCAATATCTTTGACCTGGATAGAAGATATGAAATAAAAAAAAAGGTAAAAAAGGAAAAGATTATCAAAAAGTTGGAATCCCATAGATCAAACAAACTAGCTTCACATTACAACAAACGTCAACATATTTGCGGTGACAGAAGGACAATAACAACTTCATCTTGGAGATCAGTCATCAGAGTAAGAAGGATAATTAAACACTGTGGTCTTTAATTCATTTAAATGGTTGACATTGCAATTCTATGAGTAATAATAAGCACCTGAACAGGCAATGAAACACCAAGCCTGGTCTTCACATCAAGTACTATGTTTGGATTTCCATCCCAGTTCATTTCCAACTCCATAGTAACACCACTGCTATCAGATTCCAAAATGGATACTCCTGGACAATGACACAATGGCATTGCTTTCGTAAGGACGTTTGGATAACCAAAGTTAAACAATCGTTTGCAACTATTAACCGAATCATTGAACGCACAGTTAGAAAACCACACTCTTCCACGATATTTACAAGAGACAGAATCTTCATCAGCCAAAGGAAGCTTACGGAAACGCAATTCTCTACTTCGAATCTCAAACTAGTCCAAGTTTCGCTAATCAGAAAAGAAAAGCAAGAAGTGGACCAACCTGTGAACTGAGGGGCAACTGTACCAAGAGTGAACTTGGAGAACTTGAGAGATGAAAGAATTATGGGTCTGTATTGCTCAAGAGTCGGCTCAACTGAGCTCTTTATAAGTTCAGAAGCTGCCTACAATGCGCCAAGATTTCCAAGAAAACAAATCTTAACTCCCCCATCAAACCACAATGTCTCAAACATTCATCAAGATTCAAGCTTAACCAAGAGGACATTGAAGTTACCAACCTCGTTAACATAAGGCCAGATCTTCGTCAGATGAGAATTAAGCCAATTCAACTGTGCAATACACACAAAAAAAAACCCCAACAAATCAGGAGACCCAGCTGAGGACATTTTTTGACAGAAACACAGATCAACAACTACTTCTCACCTTCTGGCGCTGAGAGAAGACGACCCAAGAAGGGTAATACTCGGGACCCAACAGCTGTCTAGAATCCTCAACCGTCATTCTCGCAAAAGCCGCCACCGTCGCCGCCTGAAACCAGCCAAATCAATGAGCACCCACATCACGAAATTGCCAAAGTTCAAAACTTTCTCATCCACCCAGTGAAGTAAAACGAAGTCAATAAAACCGAGACACTGACCAGGTCAGTACGAAGCTTGGATCGCGCATTCTCGGAGCGGACGAATACGACGATCAGAGCAAAGCCCACGACTATCCCGACGACTAAGCCAACGAAGAAGGACATTTTCTTCCAACTGGATTCAGCTGGAAGCAGAGAAAGAAGAGGTGAAGCGGGAAAACAAGGGAATGAACAAGAAGAAGAAGAAGAAGAAGAGTAGATGAAGTGAACAGTAACGGGTTTTCCGGGGAAACGGATTGGGGAAGGAAGCCTTTCCGATGGTGGGTCAGATTGGGAATTGATTAATGGGAAAGTTGGAAGAAGAATTAGAATATGGCCATTGAGAAAACGGGAAATTCGTCGTGGAAATCAAAGATTTTTGTGGGGAAAGGGACGTGGCTTTTTTTTCAAGTCCGCCCTCTTGCTTGCGAATGAACTAACAACTTCAAAGACACGCGGCTTGGAAGGGCCAAATGTAATAAGGGAAATGAAACGGCGAGAAAAGACCGGACGGCGACCGTGTTCACCGTCGCTGCCGACATGAACCGAACTTTTCGATTTAACGCCGGTCGATTGTCTGTCAACTCTTTTCCTTTCTTTCTCTTGGGAGCTTGGACACTCTGTTTTCGCCTTTCTAGGCAAATATATATATTTCCCCTTTTGGAGGTTACATAATCTGATAATCCGTGCAAGTTTGACTAAAATTGTGCATGGTTTTGAGATCATTTGGGAATAGGAGTAGGAAATGGAGAGTGACAGACTCAACATTATCAAGTAGTTTACAAAACGCTACATCTAGATACACGACTCAATTGATTGGGGAGGTTAACGTCTATACTTATTTGATGTAAAAGATGTTTATCAAGAAATTAATTTTGTGCTAGATCACATTGCTTTTTTAGGAAAACTACTTTTCTGGATGAACATATGTCAAGTTGCTTTGGCCTCAATTGGATATTGGTCTTATTTTGATCATATTTCAGATTTTCGATGGAGAGACCAAAATTAATATAACCATTAGACATGGGAAGGTAAAATTCTATTTTCATTAGTTTTCTCGGTGGAAACAATGATTTCAAATGGAAGCGACATTTGAATGGAAAACATAATAAAAAGACATGTATGATAATGTTGTCATAATAAAATATCATACATGACATGAAAAATACAAAATATATCTATAATCCAATAAATTAATCTACATTTCAAAAAGGTCATTGGAGCATATTCATTTTCACTCAGGAACATAATGATTATTGATAAGATAATACTTCTTGAGATTGTGCAGGACGTCGCTGCGACGCTGCCAAACAATTTAGTAAAATTGAGTGGTAAAATTGTGATTGAGTCCGTACTTATCAATACCACACAATTCATTGCTTTTGTTTCGAGAATGTGAAACATTAGTTCTAGTAAAATAATATATTCCATCAAAACGAATATCTTACCAATATGATATCTGTCTATACCAATCAATATTATCTTATATTATCAATGACATAAAATCAATCAATACACTTTTTACATAAAACTTATTTATATATCTTCACATTTTAACTACTAATAAAACTGAAATTTAACAGTTCGACTTCGATTGTCCGATACAATACAAATATAGTTACCATGGTGAGAACTTAAAGAAAAAAACATCAATTTCTACCAAAGAAAAAACATCAAGCTTGTAAGTTGCAAGTCCACTACATAAATGAGGTATGAGATCATTGAGATGTCCAATCCAAACTCAATAATTGGGACGAAGAAACCCTATCTATATCTCCATAGAAAGAAAAAAGAAAAAAAAGGGGGGGGGGGGGGGGGGGGGGGGGGGAATTCAGAGTCTCACAAATCACAATAGTCGTAGGTCGCTTCGCTTCTCCGCTGGACTCTGCCCCCACAGCTAGAGGCAGAGCAACTCTACTCTCTCCTGCTCCTTCCTCAACTTTGTTGCCATCCGGTTGTCTTTTTTCCTCTCCGCTTAATAAAAATCCGATGAACAGACTTTCCCCGGACGGCGGTTTTGATGGCAACGGCAACTCCGAATCACTTGCAACTCCCTTATTGCTCCCACAGCGTTCCCTCACCAATTCAACCTCTCAGGTCGCCCTCGTCGGCGCCAATGTCTGCCCTATCGAAAGCCTCGACTACGAGTAAGATCCCCCAGTTCGAAAAGTTCGATTCTTTTCTTTGTTTTCCCGTTTGGGTTCATCTGGGTTCGAGTAATTTCTTACTGGGTTCGGCGCAGAATCGCGGAGAATGACGTGTTCAAGCAGGACTGGAGGTCTCGCGGGAAGAAGCAGATGTTCCAGTACTTGTTCATGAAGTGGTCGCTCTGTTTCCTTGTTGGATTGATTGTTAGCCTAATTGGGTTCTTCAATAACTTGGCCGTCGAGAACATTGCTGGATTGAAGTTCGTTGTCACCTCCAACATGATGCTCGCCGGAAGGTTGGGATTAGCATTTAGCAGAGTGTTTTTTTTCTCGAGCTAATACTGCTGCAAATTTTTAAAGCTTTTATCCTTTTCCCCGCTGAATTTGGATGGAAAATTGTTGGCAGGTCCAAGATGGCATTTTTCGTGTTCTCTGCATCTAACATGATATTGACTCTGTTTGCATGCCTCATCACGGCATTCATAGCTCCGGCTGCCGCCGGTTCTGGTATACCTGAAGTGAAGGCTTACCTCAATGGTGTGGATGCTCCTGGAATCTTGTCTTTGCGCACTCTGTTTGTCAAGGTAAAGGTTTTGGATGCTTTCTTTAGTTTAGGTTTGCTCAAATCAAGAGACTTGCCTAGATAAGTAAGAATGGCAATGGAGTGGGGTAGGGATTGGTATTTCTATATCCATATTAGTTCTTTGTCTGGAGTACGAGTCGGATTAGGTAATTTATGTTAGGAAATGGATCAGGACAGATCAACAATACCCAACCTGCATAAACGTTCGTAATGCAGGTTGTTGGAAGCATCACAGCTGTGTCAGCATCTCTTGTAGTTGGGAAGGCAGGGCCAATGGTCCACACAGGCGCCTGCGTTGCATCCTTGCTCAGCCAAGGTGGCTCTAAGAAGTATGGCTTGACATGGAAATGGCTAAGATTCTTCAAGAATGACCGTGACAGGCGAGACCTCGTCACCTGTGGATCAGCAGCTGGAATTGCTGCTGCCTTTCGCGCCCCAGTAGGTGGTGTGCTCTTCGCCCTCGAAGAAATGGCCTCCTGGTATAGCTAGCTAACCATTCTGACAATGTTGCTCTCCTGATGACAAAACCCAAAAGGATTCTGAAGTCTCTACATTGTCTTGCTTTTTGCAGGTGGAGAAGTGCCCTGTTGTGGAGATCTTTCTTCGCAACAGCTGTAGTCGCCATAGTTCTCCGTGCCCTAATCGATGTGTGTTTGAGTGGGAAATGTGGTTTGTTCGGCAAAGGAGGGCTCATCATGTTCGACGTCTATTCAGCAAACATCACTTACCATCTTGCTGACATACCTTCTGTGCTTCTTCTTGGAGTCATGGGAGGCATCTTGGGAAGCTTCTATAACTTCTTGCTCGAGAAAGTCCTTCGAGTGTACAACTACATCAACGAGTAAGATCCTAATCACTTCTTGTTAACTTCTTGAGAATCAGGGGGTTTGTATGTTCGGTTGTGGTCCAAGTCGATCCAAGGTGAACCGAATTGTTGTACTCCCCTATCTGAGAACAAACGTTGACCAACTCTGAATTCCTTGTTCCTAGGAAAGGCACGGTCTACAAGATCCTACTAGCTTGCCTGATATCACTGTTCACATCATGCCTCCTCTTTGGAGTCCCATGGCTGGGCACATGCCAGCCGTGTCCACCCGATGCATTGGAGGCTTGTCCGACGATAGGCCGATCAGGAAACTACAAGAAGTTCCAGTGTTCGTCTGGCCACTACAATGATCTCGCCAGCCTCATCTTCAACACCAATGACGATGCCATTCGTAACCTCTTCAGCAGGAATACTGACTCTGAGTTCCATGCCTCCTCAGTCCTCGTGTTCTTCCTCATCTGCTGCGTCCTCAGCATCCTCAGCTACGGTATCGTTGCTCCAGTCGGTCTTTTCGTCCCTGTCATAGTCACTGGTGCATCATATGGCCGGTTTGTTGGAATGCTGTTTGGCAGTCGACCCCACTCCAGCCTCAACCATGGCCTCTATGCTGTCCTGGGAGCTGCATCGTTCCTGGGTGGATCAATGAGGATGACCGTCTCGTTATGTGTGATTCTTCTCGAGCTCACAAACAATCTGTTACTTCTTCCATTGATAATGTTGGTTCTATTGATCTCAAAAACAGTTGCTGATGCTTTCAACGGCAATTTCTATGACTTGATCATGAAAGCGAAAGGTTTGCCATATCTCGAGGCTCACGCCGAGCCTTACATGAGACAACTGACGGTTGCTGATGTGCTCTCTGGTCCTCTTTGGACATTCCATGGGGTTGAGAAGGTTGGTACTATTATTCATGTGTTGAGGATCACGAGGCACAATGGGTTCCCCATCGTCGATGAACGTTCTGAGGACGATTCACGAGTGCTTTCTGGGCTGATCCTTCGAGCTCATCTCATCGTGCTGCTGAAGAGGAAGGACGCCTTTATGTCGACACCAGTAGAGAGAGGGGGAAGTGGCGCAGAGTTCTCTGCTGCTGACTTTGCAAAGAGAGGATCGGGGAATGGGGACACCATTGACGATTTGCAGATTAGTGCAGAGGAGATGGAGATGTACGTCGACTTGCGTCCTTTTACGAATGCTTCTCCGTACACTGTCGTGGAGACCATGTCGCTGGCCAAGGCTCTTGTTCTGTTCAGACAACTTGGGCTAAGACATCTCTTGGTTATCCCCAAGATCAGCAATGTAAGTAGTCTCTTTTCCCGCCTGATTTAGATCTTAAAATGTTACAATCTTAGAGCAGGAAATCTCGTCATATCTCAACGACGCATTATAATTTCTAATGCGTCGAGAGAACGAATCTACTTTACCTCTACTCCTATGATACGAACATTACTAAACTGATTTATTATTCATTAACGTATGAAAACCGAAGAACAACGTACATATTTATAGGACTACTCTCACAACCCTTTCCCTCTCAAACTAGGTAAACTAATCCTATTCCAACGATCTATGGAAAAAAAAAAAAATCCTATTCCAATAAGTAAATAATAACTTCCTCAACAAGACACAATAAACTAATACGAATAACAATAATGACCCGATAATTAACTAATAATAATATCTAACTACTAAGCCCATCTTGTCTAGTGATTCTTCTAACTATAAAGTTCATGTCTTTGAAACTTGCAGAGATCACCGGTGGTAGGAATACTGACGAGGCACGATTTCATGTCGGAACATGTACTGGGATTGCATCCATTGCTTTTCAGGAGCAGGTGGAAGAGGTTGAGGTTGCGGCTCCCACGGACTCTGAGCATCTTCTAAAGAGGATCTGATCCTCAGTCCACCGCAAAGGTTGTACATTTGTAGTTTAGAGAGGCAGAGACTGAGAGGTAAATATGTGGAGTTCATTTCTGGCAACTAATAATGTCAAGCAATGTCGGTTTCAAAGTTCACGCACCATTACAATTTCCCTTCAAATTCATGTTTCTATGTAAAGGCATTGGTTTAAAAGACTGACCAGTAGAAAAGTTTTTCATGACGAGGGAAGTTTCGTCGCGTCGAGCTCGAGAATCAGGCCATGTAATTCCTCGTACGTCACAGGGAACGGCCGGCTGAGCACAGATCGAACGAAAGGCCGATAGCGCGGGCCGAGCCCGCGAAGGATTCTGCGCACCAGTTTCTCGTCCGAGACAGGGAGTCCAACAGCTGCAAGCCGATCCGCCAAGGCTCTCGCTCGCCGAAGATAGACAGTGGCATTGTCGGAATCACGACCCAAATCACAGAGCTCAGCAGCAGATGACCAGATCGGGCGGGAGGTTCCGTTGCGGAAAGCTGCTACCAGCATCGTCAGCGAAATGCGTGCCGTCTGGGTTGCCAGCATGACGAGTTGCTCCTGCCACTGCGCCAACCCCACCGCTGCCGGATTGGGTTCATTCCCTTCGAGTGCGAGGATGGGTTCGCCGTCGTCGGACTGAGGTTTCCGGTGTAGATAATCGTTTGCCGTTCGGATTATATAGCTGTTTGCTGTCAGCGCAACGTAGAGCTGGATTTGGGGATTCGGCAGCCGGGGGATCGATGGATTGCGAGACTTGAATAGAACAGGGACGATCTTTCGTATCGGCCAAGTAATGGAGTTCCCAATAGCACTGTCTATGACATCCTGCATGTTTAGTCACTCGAATTATTCACGAAACCGTTGAATTATTCACCAAACAAATATGAGAAGGGATGAATAGTCACGAACCTCTAGAGCATCAGATATTCCAGGAAGGGGATTCCACAGATTGATTGTTCGCACCGGGCATGTAAATGAGTTCACAATGGCATTGCCTATAATATCCTGTTAGAGAAATTAAAACGATAACTGGTATTGGTGATATGATTTTTTGGTGACACAATGAGTTCAAGATTAATTACTGAACCTCTAGAGCACCAAACAGTCCAGGAATTGACGTGAACTCATCGCCTCCAATTTCAAGCTGAGAGTCGAAATTCTTCTGCACAAATATATATGCGAGAGCACATCGTGTCAATTGAATATTTATGTACATGACAAATGAGAGTTCTGTAACTAAGCAATTAGAAACTACAAGAAAAACTAATTAGAGATGTTGCTAATTAACCTTTTGTCGCAGAGAAAAACGAATGTCCCCCAAGCGAGGAAGCTCCTCAAGCGTCGGCTTGAAGATCAGCCTGAAAACCCCAGTGAATCCGATATCTTTCACCTGGACGTATCAACCGAACGATGATTCCAAAGTCGAAACCTCCTCATAGCATCCGATATGATTTGTTCTTAAAATTTTAGAACTACAAGTACTATAATGCAAAAAATTAAATTTATCAAGGTAGTAAAAAGTAATTTTGCCGCCCAACATTTTCGGGCGTGTTTATAAAAAATGTCAAACTTTTGGTCTTAAATTATAAAAAGAAATTTAAAATTTCCTAAAAATTCATGCTTGGTCAGAAAGCTTCAGATTAAAACAAAAATCATACAATCTGAAATATCTAATAATTGCAAACATATGTTCAAATAATATATTTGGATCACACTGTATTTCAAATACCACTATTTCATGTTTGAAATTACAAATACATGCATTGTTAAATACCTGTACAGGCAGTGAAATACCGGCAAACCTGGTCTTCAAATCAAGAACTATGTTAGGGCTTCCATCCCAGTTCATTTCCAACTCCACGGTCATCCCAATGCTATCAGAATCCAGAATGGAAATTCCTAAATGGATATGAATCACACACAATAAGTATGTATTGTATCATAGCTAATAGCCTAATAGAAGAAGAAGAAGAAACCAACCTGTGAACTGAGGGGCAACTGTGCCAAGAGTGAAGATGGAGAACTTGAGAGATGACAGAACCATGGCCGGCCTGTGTAGCTCAAGAGTAGGTTCAACAGACTTCTTTATCAACTCAGTTGCCGCCTCGTTGATATAAGGCCAGACTATGGTCAGATAAGAGTTTAGCCATTTCAACTGCGTCAAAAACCCAGCCAAAATCAGGGAAATCCCAACTGTGGATATGGTTAATCACTTCACCTAACCTTTTGGGGCTTGGAGAAGTCCACCCAAGAAGGACAATAGCACTCAGAACTCGTCGTCGTCGCCACCCTAAACAGCTTCCTGCAGTCCTCCATCGTCATCCTGGCAAACGCTGCCACTGCTGCGGCCTGAGAAACATGATCACTACTCCATCAGGAAAAGGAAAAGGAAAAATAAAAGATCAAAGACCAAGGTTACGAATTCAAGCTTGAGGTCAAACAATCATCACTGACAAGCTCCATTCGATGCTGGGATCGTGCATTCTGTGACCGGAGGAATGCAACCACCAGAGTGAAACCGAAAACTATACCGGCGACTAAGCCAACGAAGAAGGACATTTCTTCAAACCGGAAGCAGAACAAGAAAGATGAGGTGAAGTTGGAGAAACTGGGGAAGGAAGAAGACTATAAGAGTGGACATTCTCATCAGTCAATCAGATGCTACTGTTCAATACTATTCATTAATGATGCAACTACCTAGTACATTCATCAGAAAAGGACCAGAGAAGAGCAGACTTTTCTTTCTGTACGGAGGCAAGTTTGCAGCTTAACAAGTCAACAGACTATCTTTTTTCCTGGGAGAAACAAATTATTCTTTTGGTCCACAAATTGGTGCCAGGATTTTGGATGTGTGTCAAATGCGGAATCCAGATACACAATACAATAAGGGCAACTACAACACAGTAACCAATTGGTACTCCATCCCGAAAATAGGGATGGTGGAAAGGGTATGTCGTGCCACTATATGAATAAACCTGCTAAGAGTGCGAAAAATATAAGACCTTTGAGTGTCCAGCAAGGCATCTAACAGCTCCCCGGTCTGTAAAAGAATTGCAAGTATGAGCACATTTCTGGAAACCAATAATGTCAAGCAATGCCGGTGTATGTGTTCCATTACACTTTTGTATTCATGTTTGATATAAGCCAAGGTTGAAGGAGAGCTCTAATCTTTATCCAAAATGGACGAATAAGCTATTTGGTCGATTCCGAGATCGAAAACTTCAGAGAACTCCTTAATCAATGACTTATAAGCAGTCTCAATCAGCTGAGTATCATCATCTAAACCCAGCAATGACTTGATGCTGCCAACCCTTCTATCCTTAATCCCACAAGGCACTATCGATTCGAAAGGAGCCAAATCTGTGGTCACATTCAACGCAACTCCATGGTATGCTATCCACCGAGAAACCTTCACCCCGATAGCAGCCAGTTTCTGATCGCCTGAAAACATAATGGCAAACGTTTCACGCTTTCACTCATTCATGATCTCACACAAGTTCATTCAGAAGGCATAGCAAGATCATACCAAACCACACTCCAGTCAAGCCATCCACTCGGGAAGCCTCGATAGAGAATGCCGATGAGAGAACACGAATGATCACTTCCTCGAGCGCCCTGAGGTACCAGTGAATGTCCATCTTGTGGTTTCGGAGATTGACGATTGGGTACATAACTAACTGTAAGTGAACACAACAAACATCATTAAAGCAATTGACAGAACTGAGAGAAGCCTGCTGAAAGTTTTCAAAGACAGTTAGTTAGTACCTGTCCAGGTCCATGATACGTAACTTCTCCACCTCTCTCGGTTCGATAAACATCAAATGGAGCATCATCCATGTCGAAATTAAGGTGCTCTAATGAACTACCCATACCCAAAGTATAGACAGGATGGTGCTGGAGGACAATCAATGTATCAGGGCAATCCTGATTGGTTTCAATCAGAGCTTTTTTCTCTGCAACAATGTCCTTCTGCCACTTCCAAGCTTCAGCATAAGGGACTAGCTCCTTGTGCAAGTCATGGAACTCACACGTTCTACCATTCCTACCTCTAATTGAGATGAAATTGGAAGTCGTTAGAGAGGAGGGTTGGCGATTGGAGCTCGAGATTCGGCCGGAAGGAATTGAGCTAAAGCATGAAAAAGCTCCTGCTTGAAGAACCATTTCTCAAGCGACAAACCAGAAATTTGAACAGCAGAAATTCATCAGCTCTGTACGAATGAAGAAGACATTTCATTAGAAGCGTAGCAGAATTCGAGCGCTGAAACAGTTAAAGTAGAAATATTTTCCAGATTCTAGAACAGGGTTTTCCATTGGTGACCATGGAGTTTCACCACGCGGCATTTTGATTCAGTGATTACACTATCTCGAAGAACAATGGAGAAGATCGAAAGGAAACAGAACTACCTGAAGAAAAAGAGCCAGGCAAGTTGCAGGTGAAGAATTAGAGAGGAAGGAAGATTGGAAGAAGAATTGAAAGTCGACCGTGGCAAAAGCGAAGAAACCAAAGACCCACCAGAATACTACAGCTGGGTATTTGAATTTTTCTTTTGTATGGAAACCTAACAGCGAGAAGAAGTGAAGAACGAGGAAGGGTCGAAGGGAGGGGGCAATTACAGAATTGATCACGAAACTTTGAGATCATTGCTAGATTTATCACTGCACTTTGTTTTTTTAACAAATTTGTATCCACTAAAAATTCGGAACAACTAACCATAGTAGTCACTCTTCGATATTTGCAAATGAAACAAGTTCATTGGTACCGAAGTTGGACGACTGATTTGTTCGCGACTCAGACAATTCGTATTAAATGTAATAACTTATCAAATTGGTTTTGGTACTTAACAATATTGGCTCTAATTGACTGCAAAATGAGCTTTGGCCAAACTAGAGACAACGAGAATCCAAAGCTTGCTTGAAGGCTAAGAATAATGTAACCATAGACAGCCAAGCTTCTGTATCGAGCAGTCAAGCCAATGATACAATGCCCCAAAAATGGGAATCAACCTTTGGCAAAGCGAAAATACAAGTCTGTTTGTACAATGTGGGATGCTTGTGCAAGGAAAGAAGATGCTCATAAGACTCCTGACTCGACTTTCTTTCGTTTGTTTTACTGCGACATGATTCGTGTTTCTTTCTACCCTCGCTTCGAACTCTTGAGGTAGTCAGCTCTTATCCCCCACAGCTCTTCTCCCACAGCTTTCATATCAGGCCTCTCATGCCTAACGGGAGCTGCACATCGAATCGCCAAAGTCGCCATCTTTCTCAATATGCCAGCGTCCACAACTTCCTCCATCAAAGGATCCACCATCTCCACCACAGCATTGTCGTTGTACTTCTTGAATGCCTGCAAAATGAGTAGTTCAAACCTTCAACACATTGATTCGTCAGAACTCACAAGGTTTCAAGGAAACTTGATTCGTTCGAGCTAAAAAGAAGATTTACCCATCTAAGAGTCACTCGCTCTGGAGCAGGTCTCTTTAGCTCCACAGGACGACGGCCTGTGAGGATTTCTAAGAGTAGTATCCCAAATGAGTACACGTCGCTCTTAGGGGTGAGCTGATATGTCTTCATGTATTCAGGATCGAGGTATCCCACCGTGCCTTTGACTTTGGTGGAGATATGAGTTTGGTCAGAGTCCACCGGACCCAACCTCGCGAATCCAAAGTCAGCAACTTTGGCTCTCATGCTTTCCGTCAGAAGAATGTTAGACGATTTCACGTCTCGATGGATGATTTGTTTCTCTGTCATGGAACTGAGCATTAGGACTTGCATAGTCATTATGGAACTAAGTGAAAAAAGTTAAGGCTTTCGATCAACCTGAATATAGATGGAGATAAGTAAGAGCATGGGCAATATCGATGGCTATCTCAAGCCGTTGATTGAAGTCCAGAATTTTCCCACGCTGACCATCCAAGTGTTCTCTGAGGGTGCCATTTGGAACAAACTCTGTGATGATAAGGCGCTCGTGTCCTTTATCGACATAACCAAGTAACTTCACCAGATTTCGGTGATCAATTTTTGCCAGAAGATCAACCTCGCTGCTGAATTCTGTTCGCAAGTTTTCAAAGTGTTCCTACACAGTGTGAGGCAAAGTTAAGCAAAATAATGTTCAGGACAAACGGGATTGAGCTAATTAGAAGGAACACAACGAACATGGCCTACAACAATTCCTGAAGAGAAAAACTGACAGTTGGGAAAAACTATGGAACTGTGGAAAAAGATATCGTTGATATAAGCGATTATAGTACTGAAACTGTTCAGCATCCCCGTTTTCGTACAAGCATTTCACCTGTTCCTATCTCCTACAACTTCACCAACATCCTGTGAATTAGTTAGTTGCTGTTACTGTCTCTGATATGGGAAGCTTATTTACACCAATCATGAGAGGAGCCCGCGTCCATTGGCAACATTTCCATATAAGTTGTACCATGGAGGACTTTTAACAAAAGAACACTACACCTGTCATGTGATGAGCAGTCCTTAATCTAGTAAAGAGCAAATAAAGGAAGGTGTTCCAGGAAAATAAAGAGCAGTCCTTAATCTTTTTTTGTGTATATTAGGAATAGGTCAAAAGACTATTCATTTCAGGTACCCACTTGAGTAACTACCAAAATGATGCATAGTAACAGCAACAAAATAATAGGATTCTTGTGCATCATATACTTGAAAAAAGATACTCCGCTAGTCAAAAGAGAATGATTCGAATTTAGGCAAATGTTCAAGGTCTTACCTTTTTAGCTCTTTTAATGGCAACTATTTGCCCATCATCAAGGTGAGCTTTATACACAGTTCCAAAACCTCCTTCACCTACCTTCAGTGACTGAGAGAAATTACGTGTAGCTCTGGCGACTTGACTAGGGCTGAGATGAACTGACCCAAGTCTAGAAAGTTTAGGGGACGGTGAGAATCTAGAAGGACTCGGAGGCACGCGAAGTGGACTAGCAGGCACTTTATCATGAACAGAAGGCGGCGCATCAAAGGAATTAACTGATTCCGCTGCAGTTGTAATAACATGACACCATTTTAGAGACAATGAAGCTAACTATCAACTTAAGCACGGAAAACAGTGGGCTTAGCTCTAACTATCAACTGCTAAGCATGAAAAAGAGTTCCAAAAGACTCACTTGAAACTTGATCCTTGGAAAGAACGGTGTGGGAAGTAGCCTTCCTTCTCTTGTATATACAGGGGCAGAGCACACCACAACACATCGCAACAATTCCAGTTGCTATTATCCCAATGTGCTTGGAGGAAAGAGCATTACTGGGATCTTTTGCCTTCTGTTCTTTGGCTACTTCTTCCTTGAACTCCTTTTGTAGAAGTTTTCTTGCTGGCTTGTGATGTGAGTTACCTGCACCTCTCAAGTAACACTTAAAAATTAAGGAGTATCTTCCAAGCTACAATGGACTACAAGCAAGCATGATCACCATTTAAAAAGACACAAACCAATATACTATCAACAGATACCTAATGAGGACCCCGATTGACAGAGGCTAACGAGGTAGTCTTCGGCAGGGATGCAGCCATTCGCTATGTGAAAACGGAGGGCCTTGCATAGTGAATCTATCTCTACAACACTTCCATTAATGAGGAAAACTCCATCATCCACACTATTTGAATATGAAATGCGATCAGCACCACAAACCCTTGACTGAATCCCATTAGACCCAGAGGCATATATCTGTTGAAACTGTAGAGCTAACAATAGGCTCAATATGGTGACCATCACTCTTAATGAAATGAATCTCTCCATAACAAATCTTTGATAATGATCTTAACATATTGAGGACATCGCTAGTTTCAACATGTGACGACCAAAACTAAGGAAGAAACAACTGAAGAAACCATAAATCCGGAGCTGCCCATATGGACTTAGGAAATCAAACCAAAGAATTCTGCAAACTTCCACACGGAAAACTCAATCTTCGAAGATTACCAAGGGACCTGAATTCAAGTCAGTCTTCAAACTGAGCTCCTGATTGACTTTTCCCCCTTTCCTGGTCAGCTCCAGGCCAAAAACCTCAAGTCAAATCCCAGCAGCCGCCCCCTGAAAATTTTAATTATATCCCTTCGATTGATTACTCATCGAACTGACATTGCAACCAACAAACCCCACTTGATGCAGCAGATAGAATCAAATTCAAAGCTCCAAACTTGCAACCCTTTCCTTAAAGCTCAACGAATCCACCCGCACCCAGATAACAAAATCGCAGAAGAACACCAACCCACTTAACAAGAGGAGCTGGGAAGAGCAAAGAATTGAGCTTTTGAGTTCAATTCCACTTCAGTCCAGAATTAGATGGTGGGCAGAGAAGAAAGAAAAGAGTTGGCGGATAAGGGAGAGGAAGGTGGAGGGAAATTGTTGCAGAACAGCAAGAAATCGAATTGGAAACTAGGGAAGGAGAAACAAAAGAGAGGAAAATGGGGAAGTGTGAGATTGACCGGCCTGACGTTTGTTTGAAAGGAAGAAAGAAATGGAGAAGAAGAGAAGGGGGAAAAAAGGAAGGGGAGAGGAAAGAGAGGTAAGAGGATGGTGGGCTCTCAACTCAACAGTGATGTGTTGCAAGTAAAACCTTTTGGCCGTCTGCGGTTTGTGGTTTTAATTACTTCCAAGAAAACTAACCAGTGGAAATTGCACAACTAAACCAAGTGTTGAACATCCAGCCATTCTCAAAGCTTTGTACTTGCTCAAACCAGCTTTTGTTTTGACTTTTCTATATAAAAATGATATTGAATGCCTCTTGTCAAAACACACATATATTTTACTAGCACATCTAGTATATAATATATACGATTGTTTTACAGCTAAGGGTGATTTAAGGATCCACAACCACAAGGCTTTTAGTTTAGTGGATATTTCAATGTTCAATCATTTTGGACTTTGATATTGGTTTCCGATTAAAATTTAAAACAATAGATGTTGTTGCAATGCTTCAAATACCACCCAGAATAAAGGTTTTCTTTTAATTGTACTTTTGTTGGTTTAATTTTTCATTTGCAAAGCATTGTAACTTTTATTAATCGTACATTTGAGAGATTGATGTTCCAACGATTGTTTAAGGGATTGCTACTGATGTTGCACGGACGGTGTGCTACTAAACTGGCTCAACCACTTATTTTATTTGAGGGCTTTTTCACGAATATATCAAGATGTGTAGACATTTAGTGAGGGAACTATCGGTTATACCAAAAGGATTGGAATCAATTTGCGAGACTAGCCAGAGAATAGTCACAATCCACCATAATTCCGAAACATCTGTGTCCCTGATGATATGCGTAACCATGAATTTCTTGCATGACCAGGACGAAGGTAGCATTAAACTGGGCGATCTTGAAACCCACATTGAATCTCGATCATACCCACAAAACTAAGAGTACGTAGTTGAAAATGAGAAGGTATAGCTATAGCACCTCATGTCAATTGAGAGCATAATTAGAATTCTGCAATCCCTCGACCATTATTAGTGGATTGCTTAGCTCATAAAGACCATTTTTCCACTGAAATTGCATACTCAGCCAAAATATTTGATATATTAACTATTGTTTTATGTAAGTTTATTAGAATGCTGGATTCTCTGAATGTTAACTTACATTATGTCATTTTGAAAAAATTGAAGAACAAAACCAAAGAATCTTGTGGACCACTAATGCAATAATAATATAAAAAAAATAAATCATGATTCAGACGACAAGAAATCGGTCGCATAATAATTGACAAGATACCAATCCTAATGTGAAACCTAATTTCACGTGTCCCTGAATAATTTCCTCAATCTGACCGACTTTGAATTAATAAACAAAAGATAGCGACGGACGAATATACTCCAACAAGTCCATGGGCCTAAACTATAGCCCATCTTTCTCTTAATTGGGCTTTACAATTCTGCAATCCCTCGACCTAAACTCATGCACATATGGGCTTACGCAAATGACTCACGCTTTGGTGGAAAAATGCAATGTTGTGAGAACCGAATCGGAGCATGATCCGGTAATGCGAATGGCTCGCACTTTAGTGGTCCAATTGACATTAGACTGTTTAAAAATTGTTAGAGAATTGGTACCTAATAAACCTTATCAGTATAAATAGTGGACATTTCTTAATCAGAGCTTGTCTCTTTCCTTCAAAATTGTGAAATGGAAATAAGGATTCAGTTTGAGAGCCCGACGTTTTTGGTTTATTTCAATTTTCAATTTTCTGTAATTTTTTTAATTAAATTTAACGGCTGAATGACAAAAATCGGACGAGCGGCTCGAGCGGTTATCCGCCTCGGTCGCTCGTCAACCGCTACATAAAACCGGAGCGACTTTTAGACTGTTTCGAGTCGATTTTGTGATCGGGTGACGGTTTTACCGGTCGGGCCGAGCGGCTCGTCTCGTCTCGTCTTTAATAACACTGATAAAATGATTAACCGCGCTTGTTAACTTAGGGGTCGTTTGCTTGTTGGATTTGGGTCATGGATTTGGTACGTAAATCCCAAGCTTGATGGATTTAACATAAGTCCATTGTTTGTTGAAGGGTGCTAAATCCGTGGGGTCCACGGATTTGATCTTTATTTTGGAACCAAATCCGTGGACCCCACGGATTTGTAAATCCCACATATTGATTTGGGATTTGTAAATCCTTGATGGTTAGTTATTTATTTAACAAATCCATCACAAATCCTTCATCAAATCTATCATGCAAACATTAGACTCTTCAAATCCATAATCCAATAAATCCAACATAAATCCCAAGGTTTTTGTTGGCCAAAACCCTCATTTTCCAAATCCAACAAGCAAACGACCCCTTAAATCACACTCCAGAAGCGCATTTTAGCACAGATCCCAACCTTCGTCCTTCGGGAAGATTAGAACTCAGGACTCAGAAGTCCGCCATTTCCCAATTCAGAGGTCTGAAGTTTCTTGGCGCTCGCTTCGACGAAGGCGATAGTATCATTTTCCTCAGGAAGGAGATATTCTGCGGTTTCCTGTCCGCCGGAAAAGCCTCAGTTATGGTGAGTCTTCCAGTACTAGCTGATCCCTACCGTTTTTTCATTTCCGTTTTCACCGCGCCTGTTTGGTTCCCGAGAAATTGGAATTGCGGCATCAAAATTCGGTTGATCGGGTCGGTGTCCGAGCACTGGCTCGGGATTACGTTTTGACGAGCAAGCTTTTACGAGCTGCGGTAATCTTGCAGGCGAGTTCGCTGCGGCTGTATTTGACGTGCATAAGGAACACCCTAGAGGCGGCCATGTGCCTACAGGTACTGTTTGGAATCGAGCTCTATCAGTTCATAGTTATGCCGGAGCGATGACAATGGAAATGATGGATTGGATTTTGACGGTGTGTTTGATTTGGCTAGCAGAATTTCCCCTGTCAAGAAGTTGAGAGGCATAACAAGCCAGAGGTTGAACTAAAGTACTGTTTGTTTGCTTCTTTTTCCTTTCTTTCCCCGCTCTGTCATTCTATTGAGAATTTTCATAATGCTGTAATGAATATGGAATTGGTTGTGGAGGGGGAAGCACAATAAAGGATTCAGTGGTGTTATGCAACGCTGTTGGTAGATTAGTTGGTTTGGTTGTGATATGATTGGCAAATGAGCGCCATTTTATCATAGGTGTTGATAAGTTCCTTTGTTTGTTTCAGGACAAGCTCTGAACTTCTGCTGAATCCTGTAAGGTTCTTGCTCTCACTATGTGCAATGGTGGCATGAGAAATTACATCTCCCTCTATATTGGGTTTATGTGATGAATGTGTTGTTTACTATTGCAGGTTTTGATATGTCGAAATGAGGCTGAACGATGCTTAATAGAAACATCGATCAATTCATTACGACTCAGCCTTAAGGTAAAGCAAAGAGGTCTCATTTAATGATATATGTTCATGCACTCAATTGGTTGGTAGATTTGGTCACTAATAATAGTTTTCTGCTCATATGCGCTTTTGCACCTTGGGCAGGTGAAGCAGGCAGATGAACTTGAGAACATACTGACGAAAAAGTTCCTTCGGTTTTTGTCAATAAGGGCAGAAGCATTTCAAGTGCTAAGGCGAAAGCCGATACAGGTGAGTTGGGAATTCTCTTTTTCAGATTGAGACTGCTATTAGGATTCGGTAAGATAGTAGATGATATGCAGACTCCAGTTTTTTCTAAATTTTTCGTGTTGGTACCTCACAGGGTTATGATATTAGCTTTCTTGTCACAAACTACAACTGCGAGGAAATGCAGAAGCAAAAGCTCATAGATTTCATCGTGCAATTCATGGAGGTAATAAATTCAACCTTGGCCTTCTCTTTCACTCATCATTGCTATCTGAATTGGTTGTTAGACGATAATTGTTTGGTCCTACTCAGTTAATTAGTTGATCCGGAGTATGATTATCTAGATGCCGATGGATCTCTTTCCTTCCTTTCCTGGTTACTCAGGAGTAGGTTCTGTCAAATTTTGCATAACCTTACCAAAATGTATCCTCTATCTCTCTCTATTTTCAGCACAAATTTAGTAATAAGTACATACACTGTAGCCTGCCATTTGAGCTTTTTGAATGTCCTCTGGGTATCTCTGTCATTCTAACCCATTACATTCAAAGAAATTTCTATTATAAACTAATTGGATAACACTTTCTTTAATATCTCAATACTGGCGGTACAGTCTGGCCTCTTTATAATCCACAATAATTCCATTATGTGCCCGTGTTTCACATTCTTGGTAAACTACAATGAAAACATGCTGTGGCTCCCTCTGTTTGATATAATGCACCATCTATAGATCATTATCCTTATATCTTACACCATGTGAGTCCTTCTGAGTTCTGACCCTTCTGGCTTCACTTGAGAACATAACCACCTTTCCATTTTTTTCAAACTACAGGATATCGACAAGGAGATCAGCGACCTGAAAATGTCGGTGAACACCAGAGGGAGGCTGGTGGCTACAGAGTTCCTGAAGCAGTTCCTTTGATCATTACCGAATTTCTGTTCTGGATTCCACCGACGCCACTCAACTTGATCCTCACAAGCATGCAGCCTTTTTCAAGCTCAGAATAATTGAGGTAAAATTGGTAAATCCGAAACCGAGATATAAATCTTCCATGCTCTTTATATAAGGAATTATGTATCTTAGGATCAGAAGCATGTAAAAATTGAACGATACACATTGAAACTATATGGCGAACACGGTTCTTGCGTTTATGAACAGGAGAGGAAAGGGAAAAGAGATAAGCCTCTTAACAAAAAGGTGTAGTGAATCAAATTTCTGAGTTTAGGTAGCTTTATTCCTGTGTTTGGATCTCTCATCAATCAAATCTAATCATGTTCGTTTGAGAAGTGCTGGGACATCGAATCTGATCTCTTTCTTCAACCTTCCTTCTGTTGGCTGTCCTAATTTTATAACCTATTCATTGATTCAACATTAGTTGGGAATGGAATCACGAGCCCATGTCCCCCATATTCACATGTCCATTGCATCAGCCACTTCTTTCCTGCTCTGCACTGTGGAACAGGAGATACGTGGATTGTTGGGCACAAATTGAATGTATATTATTGCTGTGTCTTAAATAGAATGATAACTAATTGAGATTTCAGTATAGAGTTTAGGTGGTTTGTTATCTGAAAATGAATAACAATGCGCCTCGTAAGGATTCAGGACTTTCTTTCTTTGCTTTTAGGGTTCATGTGCCTTCTTTATAGTGTGATGTGGTGCACTGTTTGCAAGGGGTCTTGGGGAAGGTCCATTAGTAGTCGTTAGGAGTTCACTATACCAGAGGTGTTCTTTAGTCAATTTCAAGGGAAAGCTTTTTTGACAGGTCATACGCTTGAATAGGGCTGGGAAACTGGGTTCGATTTTTTCGGTTTAAACCGAAAATTGTGTGGATAAGAATATTTTCAGTTTAGGATTTTTTGGTTCCTAATCGGTTTGTATTTTAATGGTTTCGGAACCGCAAATCGATGAGGAACCGAAATCGAACTCAAACCTTGCTCTAACTGAAACTATTACAAAGGGTGCATTGGTTTCGGTTTTGGCCTAACTGAAACTGAACTTGTTGAGGGGCTTATCGATTTCGGTTAACCAAAAACCAACAAGCCCCTTATCGGGTTCGGTTTTTGGGAAACATTCTATTACGATTTTTTTCGGTTTTTAATTATTTTGGCTCGATTAACCGAACCAAACTGACACCCTCCAACGAATTTGGCTATTTTGTTGAATGAAGTTCTTCGATTTGTGATCGGAGTTCCTGTATCTTGCAAATGGGATGCAAGACAACAGGATAAACAAATCGAATACCGCTACTCAGTATGTGCAATTGAGGTGAATTTACATTCATTATCAACATAAGCACGCCTACTCTATTCAACAGGCAAATCGAACCATCTTGATTGGAACTAGCTTTGATGGTTCGTTTTCTGGGTGAAATCTATTCTGACAACCATGAACAATCATATTGTCAACAACCAGCAGTACTTCACTTTTCTATATTGTCTTACTTTCTTCCTGTGGTTCTATGATTCTAGGAGAATGATGATAATCAAATCATTCTGTTCTGTTTTGGTTGGTGATTGGTCCAGATGTATGATCAGATCAGGTGAGCAACTTGGACCTACAGAGGCCCTTTATTTTTTTCTTTCTCTTGGTACAATAATAATAGTGAAAGGTTTGGTTCGTGTCGACTGACCAGACAAATTGTGTTGTGTTGTCACATATACAATTGTCTGCTGTAACGTACCAGATTATGCGTTTACTATTTAATTAACCCGCTGGAAAATGCCACGTGTACTGCTGATTGCATGTTGATTAGTTGTTTAACTGTTAATTATTCCTTCTTTTGTCTGCTTCGCATTTTAATAGAGAGAAAAAGGGAGTTGCTCTGAGAAGTCTGAGACGTGTGTGATCTCTCTGGGAAAAATCCTCCTGAGCCCCTTTACGGCATTTCTTGATTCGTAATTTTGTTATGTTAGTTACGATGATTTCTTTGTAATTAAATATGAGTTAAGCAGAGTTTTCAGGTCAGTTTTTCACTTTTTTTACCCAATCGATATACAGTTTTAGTTAGGGTGCATATGTGGGGTGGTTCATTTGTGGTTTGATATTGATTCACTTGATAATGACCCATATCGTAGTGAAGAGGAAATTGATGTGGGTGGATTGTGGATTGGTGATACTTCTATATACACTTATTCGTGTTGGTGATGGATGGGTTGCCCGTCATTCGGAGGACTTGCTTGTCGTTTTTCACATATAAAAAGTTGTTTTAGTTTATATTGTCGAAGAGTCATCATATGTTCTAATGCACTATATATACACCCACCATTGGCTTATAAAAACGAAAACAAATAGATAATATGTTGGAGTACTACGGTTGGTTACTATGCTATGTAATGCTAATTGGATTTAATGAATTAACTATTGATAGTATTAAAGTTGCTCACATTTTTCGCTTTCTCCCCACAGTTGGTTGATAGAATGATGAAAGATTTGACACAAATATCAAATGAAATAATGTATCCACAAGAGACAGAATGAGAGTTGTCTAAATTGTTATTCTTTCTAATTTGCGATGGACTTGTTATAAATGTGAGTCAATTTTTCTAATTGCTTGTTGGAGAATTGTGTTTGCAGGTTCATCTATAAGCCAGTTGCACCCATTTGCGATCCACTCAACCTAACCCAAAAAAAGTGGCTAGATTATGAATACCAACATACTAGTAAACATATAGGGGGTCGTTTAGATGGATCAATTGTAAAACGAACCAATTGTCTCATTTTACTATACAAATTATTTAATTCGAGTCAATTCGAATTGTCTACTCCCACCCCAGAAAAAAATAATTGTATCAAAATGAGTAAGTTTGAAATTTCCCAGACTAAATTGCTTCATGCAGCCAAACATGTCAATTTAGCTCAATCGTTTCAAGACGAAACAATTGAATCAAATTGGTCGTCTAAAATGCCTCATTCGAAACAATCTCATACATTATGTTGAAATCGAAATCCACCCAACTTACTCATTACCCACCACTCATACTTTTAGTATTGGTAAAATAATATTCGGAACAAGCACAGATTCTTTGTTGGGGAGACAGATTTGGTGAAAAGGAAACGTAGAGGTCGAAGCTTCTCCACTGCCACAAAGGAATATTACAAAGAATGATTCCAAAATCTTATTTTCGTTATTATTATTTGAATATAAGAAATATTATTTTTGCTATCGTTTCCCAATCATTCATGTCGATTCACGAATTGTCCTTAGAAAAGCCACGGCCACCACCACGATGTCACTATATTCCTTAACGTTGTGAATTGAATTAATTATTTCAAAGTTTATGAAATATTCATTTTTGTATAAAATTGATAGAATTTATGAAATTTATTGTATTTTTGGTTTCCAATATTTTCACTTTTTATAGAATTTCTATTTCAATTTTAACATATTTTTCTGTTAACATAAAAGTGGGGTAAAAATAATCAAATAAATCCTAAGGTTTTGGACCTATTGTATTTGTGAGTGAAATGAAGATGTGAGATTGAAGGGTAAATAGTAATTTTATCCTTGCATTTTTTATTATGTTGAATGATATACAGGCCACATATTTATTTTTATGCATAATAGTACTTAAAGAGATAAGTTTTTTCGTGTTCCAAAATTCATGTGACGTTTAAATAAAATATATATCTGACTAATACTAGTTTTGTAATCATATATTGGGTGACATGATAGGTACTAAAATTATATATTCTCCAGAATTGATTATTAATTTATTGCCTTTGATTGGTACCTATTCTAATAAAGAAAAGGAATTTTGAGTCGTTAGACTGAACAAATTGCAAAATGTGAATTTTAGTGTAAAACATGAAAATTGGAAATGACAGGAAAGTAGTGCAAGATTTTCAATTCCCGCAAACTGATTATAGCCTTACATCGCAAGTCAACAATATCATAGATAAAGTGATTAAAATGTTATACTCGCATGAGAAATGTTTTAATTTGGAATGTTATTTCACAAAAATTTAGTCCGGCAAATGAGGCTCGACCCGTTGACCCGACTCGAACCTGTCCGAAAAATAGAGAATGGGTTGAGGTTTTTATAACCCGAAACCCGAATGACCCGAACCCGATTAACCCGTAGTTTTTGGGTCGGGTTTGGTTGGTTTGTGGGTCGACCCGCTAGACCCGTTTCATTGCATATGTCACTCTCAAAATGATAAAATCACTCATACTTTGGTGAGATGTTTAAAAAAATTTATTAGGATTTGAAAGACAAGTTTGGAGTGTTAAGATAATCAAACATCATTTGTTTATAGTAGTAGTATTACTTTCGTCATTGTTTTTTTGACAATTTGTATTTCTTTTCATTAGCATGGAAGAAGTTAAGCATTTGTTAATTGATATGTGCTAGGCAAACTATTGTCGCACACACGTAAAAATTTGTGTTCTTTAAAAATTTATGAAGCATGTTTGATAATGTTTCTGAGAACACTCATGACCCGAAATGACCCCGAAACCCGATGGGTTGGGTCAATATTTGACCCGAAATCAGCAAACCCATCATGACCCGACCCGTGAAGACCCGTAACTCGAGATTCCCAACCCGACCCGATTGACAGGTCTAAAAAATTCATTCAATACACCCTTATACCCCCTCTCACTATTTGCATATTTGAGGAAATTTGAAAGCGAGCGGAATTTACATTGTTAATTTCATAACCATCACATAAAATCAAGAATTTCACTTCCTAAAATAATTATCGAATTGTGAGGCTTCTTAATAATTCCATAACCATGAACTTACATTTGTAATATTTAAAAAAAATTAAGAATATTCTCATTTATTTATGATACTTATAACATCAATTTAATTTAATTCGTAATTTACAAAATTTTAAACACACAATAGATTAGCCTTCTATATTTTTCGACAAGTTCTTTAAATATGTAACAATATATAATGATGAACAAGTTTGTAATTCAACAATCTCATTATGGATCGTATTGTAGTGATAAGATGTTCGAGATCCATAGACTTTCTGCTGAATCATTATTTCCCCCATTTCCTCTAATATACTCTTACAAGTTACAACTATCATTGTCAAGAAATCAAACATTTTGAGGGGTTGATAATTAAGCTCTGAATATTTGAGGAAAAAAATATACGGTTCCCAGTAGATGCAGGAAAAATATGAAGATAAGGGGAAAATATTAAATAAATAAAAGCGAAAATTTGCAGAAGAAAAAAAAGAGTTTCAACTTTCAAGGCAGCTATGGCAAGTGTATAAAACCCGCTCTTTTTTCTTCTTTCCGGTTTCCACTCTCTTCTACCACTCCCCTCTTCTTCTCTCTCTCCATTCATCAATGATATTTAACCGCAGTCCACTTTCTCCAATACCCTGACGAAGAAGAAGCTCGAATTTCGGACTGTGGTGAATTCCCCATTTTTTTCACTCTCGCCGGGAAACCGGTGACCAAGTGAGGGACGGAAATCTAGTAGGTCTGCAGCAATGGCGGGGAACGACTGGATAAACAGTTACCTGGAAGCAATTCTCGACGTGGGTCCTGGACTAGACGACGCCAAATCGTCTCTGTTGCTGAGGGAGCGAGGCAGGTTCAGTCCAACTCGCTACTTCGTAGAGGAAGTCATCACTGGGTTCGATGAGACCGATCTTCATCGCTCTTGGGTCAAGGTGAGTAAGGCAGTATGATGTTGGTTTGCTCGGCTTGTTTGTTTTTTACCCGATTGGAGATTGGTTTTTGGAGTTCTTGAATCGGGATTGCTTTTTTTTTTTTTTTTTTTTTGCTTTCTTGATACGTTTGCTCTTTTTCTTCCGGGGGATGTGGTGTGGATTGAAAGGCTGCAGCGACTAGGAGTCCACAGGAGAGGAACACGAGATTGGAGAATATGTGCTGGAGGATTTGGAACTTGGCTCGTCAGAAGAAGCAGGTTTGTTCTTGGTTTTCGCAAAGCTTTCTTGGCCTTTGATTTCCGAGTTTGGTATGGTGTATATGTGGAATTGTGATGTCCGTCTGGCTAAATGTTTCACTGATGTTCTGATTCAGGGTGATGATCTGCTTTTTCTTCATTTTGGGACAGATGAATCGGATGATTGGTATTGAACGTGTATTGGATTTCTGGATTTCAATTTGAATGGTTTTTGACTTGATGGTTTGGTTGGAAGTTGATTATCAACGGGTTCTCTCCATCTTTTGATTATGAACAGTAGTATGGAACTGTGGCTTCCCTCCCTTTTTCGATACATTATAGCAAGTGTTTATTGGTGGGAATGAAATGTTGGGAGGGTTTGTATGTATGACAACTGTGGCTTCCCTCCCTTTTTCGATACATTATAGCAAGTGTTTAATCCAACGATGTTTTTTTGTCCTGAGCCGAAAGTGGCTTCTAATCTATGTTGCCTTCTATTTGAACATTCGATCTCTTTAACTTTCTTTAATGTTATCTGCCGAGTTTTCAATTCAGTCGTTAGCCAATAAATTGATGAATATAGCACTAATTGGCGAGCTGGAACTTTTGTAGCTTGAGGGAGAGCTAGCTCAGACAAATGCTAAGCGCCATATTGAGCGTGAAAGGGGCCGAAGGGAAGCAACTGCCGACATGTCAGAAGACTTGTCGGAGGGTGAAAAGGGAGACGCACCAAGTGATCTATCAACCCATGGTGAGAGTATCCGGGGAAGACTGCCCAGGATTAACTCTGCTGATGCTATGGAAGCATGGGCCAGCCAGCAGAAAGGCAAAAAGCTATACATTGTACTGATAAGGCATGAGCTCAAGTTTATACTTTTGGTGTTTAAATATTATAACGTATTTAATTTGCTCAGTGTATGTGATAGAAGTAGAACTCAGTAGTATATCCCAATGAATAGTCTGTTTCTTTCATGCTTCTTTTCTCTATGATGTGTTTTGTCTGCTGTTAGGAATTAGGCTCTGAATTCAAACTGGATGGAAGTCTCTAGAGTATTTCCTTTGTGATATTAAGCTGCACTTTAGGACTTCCTTTTCATATATCCATTTGCTTTTTTAACGAGTAGTATGCATGCAGCCTTCATGGACTTATACGAGGAGAAAGTATGGAGCTTGGACGTGATTCGGATACTGGTGGTCAGGTATTTATCCTCGGAGTATACTGGTCTCATTACTTTTATCAGTGTCAATGAAAAGAGTTTTTGAGGTTTGCTCTTTTGTCCTCATAGGTTAAGTATGTTGT